ACAACAATGCGACTAACACGAACCTACCAGCTAAAGGGAATAAAATTGTTTTTAGAGTAGTTTAACCAAATTAAATGGTTTACGTAGTTATAGCGATTATGCTATTCATAATATGTATTAGCAATTTGGCGTTAAAATTCGCTTGAATTACTGTATGTTTATTATGCAAAAATAATTCGGGATTTTTTTATTTTTTTTTTTACCTTCGTTATCGTTATTATTGTATACATTTTCACTGCTATGGCGCATGTGACGCATGTGGCGCACCAACCTGGTACACATTTTCCGTTTGCGATTATAAAATTGCACAATATCGATAATACAATTTTGAAGGTTAAGTCCGATATGATAAAAATAAAATTTTGTTTAAATAGTTTAATTTGACTGAGCACGTATATATTCATAGAATAGTTAATATATGTGACAACTTTATTAGCTTAGATATATTTTATTTTAATTAATTGCATAATTTAAGTAATTTAAATTTTGAGTTAACTTATCATAAGTGTTATACAACCTATTAGACCACACTTTTTAACCTTAATACCTAACTTTAACTGTACCGATAAAATTTTTTTAAATAATATAACTTATGCGAAAACTTAAAAAAAGCTTACAAATATATATATAAATATATATATATATACATATGCATATGTAAAAATCTTACAGTTAATATCGCAATAATAATAATAATAATAAATAATAATAATTTAATTATTGCAATTATCTATTCGTTTGGGGTGGAAGAGTGATGCCTCCGACAATATCTATAGAATCCGGAAGCTGATTATTAAAATTTATTGATGGAATATAATCGATGCCTCTGTAAAAGATTTCATCAAATGATTGTTCGTTAGTTGCGTCTGTAGTTGGAATGGTTGGTTGTGTAGATGACGTCAATATTTCAACTACATGTTTAGTAAGATTATTGTACTCCTCACTAATTTTTATTTTTTCTTCTTCAGAGACAGTGAGCCACAAAAGTTCCCCAATTCGATTTACGACAGAATCGTTAAAATCCCCATATTTTTTGACTTTGAGCTTAATAACAAGCTTGTAGATATCTTCCTTAGTAGGCATAGCGGGGATATTGTGATTAAAGTTTCGAGCCAACTCAATCACGTCAAATTCTTTTGGCGAAATTGAAAGTCTCTTTTCATTTAAGAGAGTGATTTCGGCCTCAAATTCTTTTGGAGAAATCGAAAGACTCCTTTCGATTAAGAGAGTGATTTCGTGAGAGTCTTGAGATGCCATTTCGTACGGAAAGAAAACGATTGTAATGAACTCTAACGACGCTTGAACGTATTATATAAAAAAAAAAGAAAAGGAAGGCCATCCTTAAGTGTTTATATAGAGATATGACAACAATATAAGATAAATTTCGCAATTATGCTCATATTACTCAATATATTTGTAATTAAAAAAAAATTCAAAAAAAACAAAAAGGTAAATTTACTTTTTTTAGTAATTATAAATTCTTAAACGCGTAAGAATTACGCGTTGTTTCAATCAGGTGAAATGAAAACAAATAAAAATATTTGTCTCATAATTACTTTTTCGTAAAGAAATTTTTTGGTATAAGTACGAATAAAGTCGGCCAGTATTTAAACGGTATTGTTTAAAAAAGGAAATCACATGATTAAACGGTAGCATTTGTTTGTATCACAATTATTTTCTCACAGCAATCATAAACATCGCTAAATTATTAATCTTGAATCAATCGGATCTAATGTTTAATAGTTTTTCAAACTATCAAGGTGCAAATATTTGATAGGGCTAAAATAGGAAATAACTTATAAACTCTTTCATTTGTAAAGATTATTTCTTTTAGAAATATGTATTGTAGATAAGTAGATCATTGTTTTCATAGATTAATCGCATGATCTCCTTTTATGTCATCACGGAGACATACATTATAAAATGTTCCGGTAAACGGTTACGTTAACAGGTGCATCGTTTTTATAAATATATTTGAAATTTTTCAGTTTACTTATTATAGCAATTTGATTTTTAAACTGTTTTTTTTCGCCTTTGTAATACCATGCATTAATAATATTATTATATGAAATTTTATTCAATTTAGTAAATACTTAAAACGGCTAGTTTTTGCTTTTTAGTGGTTATGTTTTCCGTCTTATCAATCGCTGCATCAATCTCTATCAATCTTTGTATACATAAAGACATGAATTTGAAAATATGCAGTAAAATCTATTCACTAATAAGTTTAATTCTACTTAATGAATTATATTGTTATCTTAAATTTTAAATTCTTATCTAAATTTTGCCACTTTCCAGAAATGGAATATCCATATTTGTAATTATTAAATCTTGTCATTCCAATAAATGATTGAAGAAAATAAATCATTTGGCTTATTTTACTTAAATTAAATTTTATATTAAAATTTAAGACCGTTAGGCCATGCAAAGTTAATTTTTCGTTTTGCATTACCCGCCGACCCATTTGTTCAATTTTCAATTTTTTATTTTTTTTAAGTTCCAATTGTGTCAATTGTTCTATTTTTGCCATTTGATTTATTAATCCGGTGTCACCCGAGAATTGTCCATAGAATGATAAAAAATCTTCGATTGCCCACACAATTTTCTGATTCCATGCTATGCAAAGCGAAAATTATCTTTACATGGCCTTAAATATGAGCATGATTCTATTAATTTAATGTATATTAGAAAAAAAAATCCGACCGACCGACCGCTGATTTTGAAATCCATGTAATGCAAAACGAAAATCAACTTTGTGTGGCCTTATAAAATCGGATTTGATTTTGGCATCATCATCAAAAGGAGTTTTTCATTCCAAACAAACAATACACATCTTATGATTACATCTCTATGACCACTTATAACATATTGTAAGAGCATTACCAAATATTAGAGAATCGGTTATGTAGTATTGTCTGGCAATGTGAGTGCAACAAAGACATAAGCCCTTGTACCGCCCGTAGTTGCCGCGGAGCCTAAACAGAAACTGCAGTCCTTGTAGCTGAAGCCCAATTGCCAAATGCGCGTCCTTGCGTTACCAGCGGCAGCCGCATAGCCTATTGGCACCAACCAATAGTATCTTAAGCAAGTGTTAATATATTGTCCTTAGTTTACAGGTTACTGTGGGACAATAGAGTTAGCCTTCATTATAAGAGAGCGATACTGAAAAAAGATAGCTTCTCTACTAACTAAAGGTTACTGATTACATACTCAGAACCATATGGGTTGCCTTCAATAGATTGACATTTTAAAAAAATACCAATACCTTAAATTTTACAGCTCATATCTTGATTAATATTGAGGCTATCTTAATGATTTCTTTTTGAATATTAAATCATCAAGTAGCTTCAAAATTCATTGAGATATGGGCTGTGAACGTTAAGGTAATATTGTTTAAAAAAATATCAATCTGCCTTATTTCTATTTACGGCAGCTCATCCTTTACCCTAGAGTTGCCCCGAAACCACGTGATGCTAATTTGTCACATGCTATTACATATAAAAATCGACGATCTATTTTGATTTTTTATAAGTACTGCATGTGACAACTTAGCATCACGTGGTTTCGGGGCCAACTCTACTTTACCCGCAGTAATTCATATTTCAACAATCATAAATAATAATTTTGTAATTAAATATTATTATAATACAAAAAATTTTTCAAGTAATAAAGAAATATATGCTATAAAAAAATTAAATAATTCAATATAAAGAATAATATTATAGTCTAATACAAATATATATATATATGCTATATATTATAAAAAAAATAAAATTGTTTTATAAAGTACAATGTTATAGTCAAATTATTATAATGCAAAATAAATAATAATTAAATAAATAAATTTTTGATATAAAAAAATATCATTATAGCTATATATCATTATGATATAAAAAAAAAAACAAAAAAACATTTGACAAGAAGTGCCATTATATTCAAATATAATTGTAACTAGACATTACTATAACTGGAGTAACATATTTGTGAAAAAAGCAATTTTAATTACAATTTCAATTTCGATTTCGATTCAAAAAAAAGCATAAACAAGCAGCTCTGGAATTTTGAAGATTTCCATGTGATTTGATAATCACAGTAAATTGAAAAGAGCAATAATACAATAGATATCGATATAAATGGAGAAATTCGAACTTTAACTTATCAAGTAAAGACGATATATAAACTTGAATGTAAGATTCTCTGTAATATTCTATGAATATTTTAATAATATGAATAATATCTTTTGCCATATTTTCTATTGCAAAATCAGGAGTGTTACTTTTATTAATCAACAATATCTGGAATTTTCAATTCGCATAATTCACTAACTATAAAAAGATTAATAAACAATATTTAATAACATAATTTACTAAAAAATATATACTATAAAAATCTTATTACCTTGATATATATAACTATTGTTAAATGAAATAAAGCTACTTTGATAATGTGAATCAATATATATTTGCGTATCTTCACTTATTAAATTTTGTAGTTTTTTATCAGATTCAGATAATTCTGATAAAATAATTTCATTATTCTGCCACTCTGTAAAAATATCATAAATTTCTTTTGCAGTTGGTCGTTTTTCTGATTCCATTTCCCAACATT